GAATCTAACTTCTTAGAAATTTAGAATGTGTCTAATAGGAGGAAAAGATTGCTAGACATTTAGTAAAGAAGAATCTTTGGACTAACCACAGCATTTGTTTAGAATGTTGTTTACTAAAACAAACAAAAATTTGTTAGGAGTCGTGAGTTGTTTTTGACCATGCAAGTATTATTTTTGATAATACTTTCAAATAAAGGGTTTAGGGCCATACTTTCTGTAACCAAGCAACTGCAGTGCTTGACTTTTTCTCCCATGTTTTGTGGTCAGTGTCCTGTCATCTATAACTTATTGACAAAAATGCTAGTGTTTGTGTTCATTACGATACGTTTGCTATTGGGACCGGCCCCCTGACTGAGTGGTTAAGTTCACACGCTCGGCTTCGGAGGCCCAGGTTTCCCCGGTTTGGATCCTGAGTGTGGACCTAGCACCGCTCTTTAGGCCATGATGAGGCAGCGTCCCACGTAGCAGAGCCAGAGGCACTCACAACCAGAATATACACCTATGTACTGGGGGGGCTTTGGGGAGAAGAAAAAAACAAATACATTTGCCTTTGAGAAATAAATGGTTTCAGAGAAGATTTTAAAAAGTATAGGGTACAAGTATGTGAAAAAAAGTATGTGTTTCTGTCTTAACACATTTTGAAAAGAAAGTGTGTATGTATGTATAAGCTATAGAACCATACTTACTGAGCTTGAAATAATTTTGCAAATTTCATGGCAAATCTGATTGATACGGCTTGAAAATTTCTTTTTTCTTTTTTCTCTTTTCACAGACTTTGCCAGCCCCTGAAGATCTGCTGGGAAACTCCCTGTGCTAATAGGCAAAGTGGCCTTTCCTGTGCTTCTCTTTAAAGTAGCCCTTCCTGAAACAGTGACCTTTTAGTTTAAGAACAGTTTTATTTGAGAAAATGTTCAGATCCTGAGAGCTGAAAAGAGTGTTTTCAGAAAGGCCATTTTAAATAGTGGTCTCCAAATGGTCTTTTTCCCTCACGCACTTCGGATCAGACTGTCAGAAGGAATATATTGTTGCTTTCTGTATTCTATTGATTTAAAAACAAATAACATAAAACTTAGATTTGCTCAAAACCTATTTCTACACTGGTTTATTTTCCTGCCTAGGCTTTGATTTGCAATTTGAGATTTTAAACTCTTTATGCTAGGTCATGTTTTATCTTTTGTTATTTTAAATTCTCCACTGTATCTAAGGTAATTACCTTTTCAGCTGTGACCTTGGACATGCGACCCAAAAGTTGTAAATTTTTTTTTCTTTTCCGGAAACAGCAAGGGCTTTAGAAAGACAGCTGTGCTTTGGTCCCTTTACTGACCAAAAATGCTGTCAACCAGCTGGTCCCTTGGGCATGTCTTCTTCAGTGGCCTTGGGAGTTTCCTGCCTTGTTCGTTGCTGGTGCTTCCCTCCTCCCCTCATGGCCTCCCTAGATGATACCACCAGTTACCTGCATCTGTTTCTCACCCCATCCCATGGCAGGTGGCAGGGCCGAGCGTGATAGCCCAGAGGGTGTAGAGAAAGAAGACAAGCCTTGCAGCTACATTTCCTTCTCTGCAGCCTCTCCTGTGTGGCTTCCTTCCCAGCCACCCAGCTGCTCACCATTTGGCAGTGGCGTCCCTTACTGTTCCATTCCAGGTTGATCACATCATAATAAGAAGCTCACAGTTGATTTTTCGGCTTTTCCCCTGGCAGGAATCCCCCTATGTAAGAGGCATCAAATGCACTATGAGGATACGAGACCATTTTAGTAGCTCACTTAGAAAACTAATCTCATTGCTTCATACTTAGTCCTGGTATACAGAGGTCTTACAGAAGCTAGTTTTAATTGACTGAATGAAGTTCAATTGAATTGTGATTGAGAATTTGATTGAATTTTGCTTGAGAGAAATTTTGCTGTGGTAATTTGAATCAATCCGGGGGAATGGTGTGATTTCACACATACAGGCTGTGTGTTGGTCCTAACTGTTACGTTAAACTACAGAGTATAGTTTGATCAGGTAGTACTAATTGGGTTAAATGTTTGTTTCAGTTTTTGCTACGAATAGACCAACCTGCTGTGAACAACTTGAAAAACAGCAAGTGTCAGGTTGTTTTGTTGTTTATAAGAAGTGATGGAAATGTGAAAGTCATCACCTCGTGGAGTGCATAATCTAGAATTCATAGCCAGGTGACACCCGTGTAACCTACCCAGTCTTGTTTTTGGATGAGGAAATCAAAACTTGGGTTAACTGATTTATCCAAGTCTAGATAATGGAAAAACAAAGACTATTCAGACTCTTTGCTGAGCTATTGCTGTCTGTAATTTCTCTGCTGGTATTTGTATTGTTTTAAACCTTTAATAATGGAAAAAATCTTAAGATTTGCCTGAATGCATACAGAATTCTCTTTTCTAGTCTTTTTCTTGATTTTGTGTGACCTTTTCAAAGCATAGACTTGTGTCTTTCTCATGCTGGAGACTACAAAGTAGAAGAGAAGAAGGGGCCCTAGAGAATGTCCATTTGAGAACAAGCCTTGAGAACTCTGCTGCCAGGAGAGGGGTAGCTCCCCAAGCTCCCCCAGTTAGACCTCAGCTAGTGTTTACTCCTTTCCCTGATTCTGTGTCAGTCATTCTTTTTTTATATTATATTTCTTTTGTCTTGCTTTTTTACGGCTTTATTGAGATACATTTAACATATCGTAAAATTCGCTCATTTAAAATGTACAGTTCTGGGGCTTTCTAGTATATTTACATAGTTGTGCAACCATCTCACAATCTAATTTTAGAACATTTTGAACACCACCTAAAGAAATCCTCTACCCTTAGCTGTCCTTGTCCCATTCTCCCCTTCCTCCCACCCCAGGCAACCACTGATCTAGTTTCTGTGTCTATGGATTTGCCTTTTCTAGACATTTCAGATCAGTGGAAGCATACAATATGTGACCTTTTGTGTCTGGCTTCTTTCATTTAGCATAATGCTTTCAGGATTCATCCTTGTTGTAGCATGTGTTGTAGTCCATAACTTTTTATGGCTGAATATCACACAGAATGGATATACTACATTTTGTTTATCCATTCATCAGTTGATGGGCTTTAGCTTATCTTCCCTTTTGGGTTATTTTGAATAACGCTGGTATAAATATTCATGTACAAGTTTTTGTGTAGACATATGTTTTCACTTCTTTGGAGTATATGCAGTACCTAAGAGTGGAATTGCTCGGTTATGTGGCTTAGCGTTTTGAGGAACTGCTGAACTGTTTTCTGCAGTGCTTGCATCATTTGATATTCCCATCAGCAGTGTTTGAAGGTTCTAATTTCTCCACATTCTCACCAACACTTGTTATTGTTTGTCTTTTTGATTATAGTGGTTTGAATTGTTTTATCATTGTTGTTTTGATTTGCATTTCCTTAATGACAAATGCTGTTGAGCAATTTTGCATGTGCTTACTGGCAATTTCTTATACCTTTTTTAGAGAAATACCCTTTTATATTGTTTGCCCATTTTTAATTTTGTTGTCTTTTTATTGTTCTCTTGTAAGAGTTCTTTGTATATTCTAGATACAAGTCCTTATCAGCTATGTGATTTTCCAGAATTTTCTCCTGTTCTCTGGGTTGTCTTTTCACCTTTTTGATGATGTCCTTTGATGCTGTTTCTTTTTTTTCTTTCTTTCTTTTTTCTTTTTGAGGAAGATTAGCCCTAAGCTAACATCTGCTGCTAAACTTCCTCTTTTTTTTGCTGAGGAAGACTAGCCCTGAGCTAACATCCATGCCCATCTCTACTTTATGTAGGACGCCTGCCACAGCATGGCTTAACAAGTGGTGTGTAGGTCTGCACCTGGAATCCGAACTGGTGAACCCCGGGGCGCCAAAGTGGAATGTGTAAACTTAACCACTGTGCCACTGGACTGGCTCCTGATGCTGTTGTTTTCTGATAGTCCACAACTGAGAGAACACATCCATATAACCTTTCATGGATCTTCTTTATTTGTTATTGTGCAATGTCAGCTAAATTAAAAAATTCTTTTTGCATATCCTATTGTAATTCATTTTTTGCATATGCCTTGAGGCAAGGCACTTATAATGTCGAGATCGTCAAATAAAGTGTCATTGCAGAGCAGAGACAGTGCTGTCTAGCAGTCCATCTCATAGGCTCAACCCCTGGAAATAGCAGTTAGGTCCCTGTGTATTCCTAGATCCTTCCAAGCGTTTCTGGTGCTTTCTTGGTCGTAATTTTGGGTAATGGGTTTGCGGTGAAGAGGAAATAGTCTCTGCTTATTTCTTATGGAAGGCTCTTCAGGAGTATGTAAAATTTGTCTAGTTTATTTGCTATCATAGCTGTAAGAATCTTTACAAAACATATCTTACAAAATCTTCTAATAGGAAAGACCAGATGTTTCATATCAAGTCACCAGGTATTTAGAAAGCTCCAGAGCTCCAGCCGTGTTCTCAGCACTGTTCTCTTTCCAGTTGTTGGCACCTGAATTTGAATGACACATGTTCCAAAAAATGTTTCAAAATGTTCATAAATGCCTTTTTTCGTAAATCCTGGAAAAATGAATGTACATACAAATGGTTTTCTTTCTGTAATAAATTATTTTTCAAATGTTTACTTGTTGAAGTGAGAATGCTTTGGTGTCCTTTTCCTCTCTGAAATCCCTTCCTTACAGCTTCTCCTGCCCTTATATGCAATTGTCAGACTTTAATGACAGGACATCATTTTAAAGAATTTGTACTTAATGGCTCAGTCCCCACTGGGCAGTAAGCAGCTCCTTGAGTTTATTATAAATTTTGGCAGGTGTGGAGATTTCTGGGTCGCCAGGGACCTCTTGATTAAATTGCTCCTGAAGTGACTAATTGGTCTTTTCCACAGTGCTTAGGTGGTTCCAAGGAGACACTGACCAGCTGGCAGGACTTTACCCATTAAGATCTCCTCTCAGCTTTGTTTTCCTGAGTATTTTCTTGCTTTCGTTTTTAAGAGGTCACTTATTTTATCTCCTTCTCCTTTCAATGTTTCTAGTTTCTGATGAAGAATTGAAAAGAAGAGTGGCTGAGGAGCTGGCACTGGAGCAAGCCAAGAAAGAATCCGAAAATCAGAAACGGTGAGTTTTGTAGTATCTGAGAGAGATTTTGGTGACTTGTCTTAATTATCAAATATTGTTAGGGAGGAATGATTGTAATAAGACTCGTTATCTGTGTTTGGCTGAACTTCAGAATGTGAACTTGGCCACTTTCAGTTTTGGATTGTGCTTATTAGAGCCCTATTTTACCCTCTTTCCAAACGATTGTAAATGACCGTTACATCTCTCTTGTGGTTCTTCGTTGCGTGAATACTGAGCCCTCTTTTCTCAATAAGTGAGAAGTAGTTCTTGAGGATTCTCTAGGCATTTCTCAGGCTAGTTTCTTTCAATGAATGTTTATGATTGAAGATTATGTTGTCTACTGTGGGTACTAAGGTTAACAGTATTGTAGCTAACAGTGAATGTCGTATGTTATATATAGTGTCCATATTAACAAATAGCACTAATTAGTAACACACTCACTTAAAAAAACTGAAGACATTACAGAAATACGTAAGGTTGAAAAATGAAAATCCTCCATAATTCCATTCCACAGGGATAACCACTCTTGGAACATTTCATTCCTCTGTATGTCCTTCTATATTGTTGTTGTTATTGACACTGCTACTGAGAACAGCTAAAAGAATGTTCACTGAAGGGTTTTTGTAATAATGGAACACTAGAAGTAATCCGGATGCCCAGCATGGGGGACTGGGTGAATGAATTATGGTTCATGCCTACACTGGATATAGACAGTCAAGTAGATCCTTGTGTACTGATTCAAAGGGATGTTGAAAAGCTGTAAACTGGAAAAAAAGCAATGTTCAAAACAGCATAAATAAAATTTTTTTTGGTAAAAAGCACTACTTTTTAAAGACTTAAAGTATATACTTATTCATAAAAATATGTGAATGCATTTTAATCCAAGATAGTCAAGTGCTTCCCATCTGTGCTCCTTCTGAAATTTGCATATAGCACAGAGCATTGTTATTATATGATCCTGTGAATGTCTTTGTGTTGCTGGCACTAAACGCAGTATCTCTCACCTGCAGATGCTTAGTATGTGTTTGTTTTTGTTTTAGATTGCTTAACTGTTTTGCTTGAGAGAGCTAAATGTAAAGAATCTTTGAATTGGATTCTAGTCCTACTGGCCATAGGACCTTCAATATGTACTTTAACCTCTTTGGGCCTTAAATATTCATCTCTAAAGTGAGGGGTTTGAAAAACATTCTCTAATATTTCTTCTCTTTTGTTGAAGTACTAAGCTAGTGCCCATTTGCTTAAAACCTGTGGGACAGGACATGAGTTTTAGATTAAGACCACCATTTTGTTAGGAAATAGACAAAGCACATGGCTTAGGGATTTAAAAATCAAGATGTAATTAGTACTGCTAAAGGGTCTGTGTATATTTCAATAGTTTCCTGTGCAGCACTTTATAATTATTTAATTGGGTTAGGTTGATAAAGTATGTAATTAGATAGTGAAGTTTAAATATGCAAAAAATTTCAGGCCATTTTCATTAAGAAGCAAAGAAAATCAATATGTTATGGTCGAATTTCTTGTCTTTGAAATTTTATTATTTTTAACTGAATTTTATTTTAATAAGGATTTTTTAGTTAGACTCTCATATTTACTTGGCTTATTATATTTCACACAGGATTTTTTTGTCTTCCTTTCTGCTCATATGGTACAGGCTAGAATAATTCATTATGGTGAGTTTTTTTTTTCCTTCATTATTCAACTCCCATTTGCTCTGCCTTGGTCTATGAAAGGTAAAGGGCAGATGAGATGAATAAAAGGTGCCAGCGAGAGCCAATTTCGTCTCTCATGTGGACTGGGCTTGGCAGCCTATCTGTGACCTGGACAAATGACTATTGATAAAGAGTTTATTTTCTGTCACCTTTAAGGAGAGCAGAGGGTGGTATAGGCTTTTATTATTTTTTCTTTTAAAAAAATGTTTTGTTTGAAGCCTTCTTCATGAAAACTTCTAGCTGTCAAATCTTGGCAAAAAGTGTGTGTTCATCTATATGATAGTTCTTAGAAGAATCAATAGCTATTTTTTCTCTCTCTCCCAGAGAAGGAACTTTAGAAAAAGCATTAAGAAAGTTTTATGTGCAGTCTTTTAAAAATAACTTTTTGGAGTCAGAAAGCATTTATACATTATTCTATGTGTTCCCTTAATTGAATAAAGCCTTATAAGCGGTTTTAGAAAATAGTTCCTGTGCCATTGTACTGTCACTTGTTCATGACCTGCTTACCAGATTGTCTCTTTTCATGCCAAATGCACATGTAAATGTAAGCAAGTTCTTAAGCACTTAAGATTGGGACATAGGCACACATCCATGTAAGGAATTGAGCTTGTGCAAAAAGGGCTTTAGAAATTATTTCAATTGTGATGTTTTTCTTCACAGAATATTTATTTTTGTTGTTTAACCTGTTTATTTTGGATATTTCTAAGCACATTCAAAAACAGAGAAGAGTGCAATGATCCCCTTGACCCATCACACTGTGTCAGCAGTTCTTGTTTCATCTGTACCCCTGCTCACTCTGCCTGTGTGCTGAGTGGTAAGGAGAAGCAATAACATTTTTAACAGCTTGGGGAACTTTGTGGCAGGGAAATATTCTGCAGTGTCTTCTATCAGGCTAGTTTAAATAAGGACCTTGTTTTAGTTAGGTTTTTTCTTTTGGTTGAAAGACTGAAACTTAACTTAGGAAGCAAGGACATTTTGAGAAGCATATTGGGTAGCTCAAAAGAATCAAAAGGAAGACTAGAGAACTACTAACTAGGGAAGAACTGGGTGCTACTGAAACTGTACACAATGGGGAAGAAGTAATGCCCCAAAGGAGATCAGGATGAGGGTTCCATAACAAAGGGGAAAGGATGGTGGGTAGCTGAATTTCATTGAATTGAAGATGCCATCGATATTAAGAAGCATTGTATTGATGTACCACTAAGAAAAAAATTGCTGCAAATTATGACACAGTAGTTTCTCTCTTAGAATTCGCTTATTGAAAGAGCTCAGTAACACTTTGAATTTTTAAGATTTCACTTGTGTATTCATAAAAGGGAAAACGTAACCAAAATACGTTAAGTTAAGGCAGCAGTTCTCAATTGGGGGAGATTTTGTTCCCGGGGAGATATCTGACAATGTCTGGAAACATTTTTGGCTGTCACAACTTGTCAGGTGTTATTGGCAGCTAGTGGGTAGAGACCAGGGATGCCGCTAAACATTCTGTAATGCACAAGACAGCTCCCACCTCTACCGTCCATCCCAAACAAAGAATTATCTGGCTTAAAATGTCCATAGTGCTGATAGTGAGAAACCAAGGGTTAAGGTGTTCTTAAAACCTGTCCACATTGGCCTCATTTCTTCTGAATCACTTTTTGACTGAGGGTCTTGATGTTCTTGTTTTTCCAGACAATATCATACTCTATGCCAGTGAAGCCTTGGCAACACAGCATTCTTTAAAAGATTGCTCCACTGTTGTTCCTGGGATTTTTCCAGGCTGCTGACATCAGTTTTGTAAATTTTGGTGCTTATGAGCAGGCTATGACTACTGTGCAGGACTGCTGCCTGGCAGACAGCAATAGTAAGATGCTTTCAAGAATGTGAAGATGTGGAAAAATACGGTGCTAGAACTGTATTTCATCAATACAGTCCATATACACCCTAGAGCATAACATCTCTTGGATTGAAAGTAATTTCTCGAGTTTCTGCCTTAACTCCCACCCAGTGCAGAAGCTTTTTACAGCATCTCTGACTGGTAGTGCCACGCTCATTTAGATCCCTTTCATTTAAACTGAAGATATTTCATTAGGCTATTTAAAATTTATCTGAACTCCTTTAAACCGCCACTCCTTTAAATCGAATATGCAGACGTGGCACAATTAGAAGTTCCTTTAGTGTAGAAGGTTTCTACTAGGGCACTAGGACTGTGTATGTTGTCTTGTTATTTCTAAAAAACTTTGCACCTGGAATCTCAATTCAATTTATCTTAGATCTGATTCTGTTTTATGAGAATCTCGAGTAATTTGCTTAGTTAACAAAATCATGCCAGAAAATCCCTGACATAATATTAGTACACAAACTAAAATTGTTGGATCTAATTTGGAATCAGTTTTGCTTATCACAGCATCTAATGGATGGAATAGTTGTTTGGGGTATTGGGAGTCCAGAGTAAATTAAATGCTCATGTCACAGTCTGTTTTTCCTCTGATACTCTATTGCATGTTGTGGATTATAGCTGCCCATGTTGTGTTGTAACTATAAGCAGGCCAATATAGCAAGGACATAATATGCTGCAGTTTTGAATATAGATTTTTAAAACGTGATTTACTTCTCTGCTGCACCCTACCTCCAAAAGTCAGTCTCTGACAGCAAGAAAAATGTGACTACTTCTGACCTCTGACCTTTGGCATTTGAATTTCACCTCTTTACCTATAAAGCCAAGTGAAAGTGTTTCAGTTTTAATAACCTTTCCTCAAGAAACCAAGAAAAAAGGGAATAGTTACTTTATGTTGTAACTAGCTGTACATCAATGAAGATTGCTTGCTTGCTGATTTTAGGTGGATGTGAGTTGAGGTTTTACCTTATTTTTAATTACTTGGAAAATTACATCAGATTTGTGAGACTTAAAATAATTAATGTGGTTTAATAAAGTAGTCATAAATTTTGTCAGGTAAATTTTGGGTAAGTTAGAGTATAGCACAGTTCATTTATTTTTCCATTTATAGCATCAAATAAGGGCTTAAAACTTAATTGTACTTTTTAGTTTCTCATAGAAAAGGTAAAATTCATAGGGATGGTACCTTCTGTTCAAATTCATTATGCATAATAATTTATCTCAATTTTATTATTAGATATTTTCAGCCTTTGGAAGAAAAAGCTGAAAAAGGAAGGAGGAACGAATCCACTAGAGATAAACAGCATTTTATGGGTTAGCGTCACATTGAAAATACATAATGGAGGAAACCATCTGCCTAGTGTGGTGCCTTGCATATAGTAAGCTCTCACAAATATTTGTTCAATTGAATGAACCAC